GCTCTTTTCTGCTGCTACAGACGGACTAACACGGCTACCCGTCTTGATCTAACTCATATTTACTGAATAGAAGTCAAGTGTCTCAGCCTAGCGTACCTCACAGGGTTGTTGTAAGGTTAAAATGGAGGAGGGGAGGATGATGTAAGCTGCCTTGGGTCCCCAATGTTCCGTCTAAGCTGTGAAGTCTTGTGAGCAAAAATTCTACTTTGTGAGCTACTGGCGTTAAAGTTATGAGCAAACGATTTGGCTACTTCATAAATTAGTCTGCTCTGGAGCCCTCCTTCCTGAGCTCAGACAAAAAGGTGTGAGCCGGAGGCTAAAAAACTGTGAGCTAGCTCACACTAACTCAGCTTAGAGGGAACACTGGTCCCCATTTGGGGAGAAAGGCAGGGTATAAATTAATTAATTAAATAAATACAGGGTTGTGTTGGGAGATGGAGAACATGTGGAAGACGTAAGCCATGGTGGGTCCCCAACAGGGAAGAAAGGCAGGGTATAAAATAAACAAATCCACTCCCACACATTCATTTATGGTGCAGTTTCTGGGCAATTGTTATGCAAATCTTGGTCTCCCAGGCTCTTACCTTGGACGGGGATGTGTACTTTGGAGCATTAATAGGCTGTTGTGTTTACGGAATGCAGAAGGAATGGGGAAAGGGCAGATGCACTCTTATTTCCTGCAGAGCAGCCCTCCAGGTCTGTAGACTTGAGCTGAGTAGAGAGATTTCATTCAGTGGGATCCTCCTTGTGGCACCCAAATTACAGAATTGCCTCCCCAGGGACATTCGTCTGTCCTCTTCTATCATTATCTTGCACCACTGAGTGAAGACTTTTCTGTTTTGTTTGGCATTCCCTTGCTGACCCTCCTTTATATGTTTTGTTAAATTTCTTATAATCATTTTTATATGTGTGTGTTTTTATAAAACAGGTTTTGATTATTCTGATTCTTTGCCACTTTGGGGATGCTAAGCTGGGTGGAAATTACTTACAAACCAGGGGACACAGTATATCATAAAACCATAGCAGAAAAGATACTGTGTATATTGCCGTTTTAACTGATATTAAAGAATATACCAATAAATCCTTCACTATTTTTATCCTTAAAAATTGTGTATTCCTGAATTCTACATTTGATAAAAAATAGTAAAGGATTTATTACGTAGTATATTTTTAAATATCGGTGAAAACGGCAAGATACACAGAATTTTTTCTGCTATAGTTTTAAGCTGGGTGGAAAGGCAGCATAAAAATATTTTTTTAATGTTTTAAACAAACCTACTCTTGAAGCCTAGTGTACACGCAACCCTCCCCAACAGGGAGAAGTAACATGGCCAGACACCACGATGTATGCCTGTTCACCTTGTGAACAAACTTTTCCTCCATTTTGTTTCTGAACATTAGTTCCTGACACCTTTGCAGGCAATCCCTTCCGACTCCTGGTAGCATTTTGCTTGCTTCTGAGGACAGTCAGAGATTCCGGCTTGCATATTTCTGAAGAGCAATGGAAGTGAATCCTTCCTTTAAAGCTGGAACGCAGTGATTGGCCTGCGTAAGTTTCTTGGTTTGAGAGGATTTGAACTCAGCACTCCCTAGCTGAATCCCAATACAGGTGTCCAGTACATCGCTTTAACCAAAGGATGCCTTTTGTTGCACTGACTTGAGGTCTGTGACTCTTGAAAGGTTGCGTACTAATCCTACAACACCTATCTAGGTTGAGCCAATAAAAGATAGCATTTGACTTATGCTGTGTCTTAATGTGCCTTGGGAATGACATGACAACCCATGATAACTAAAGCTAATGAATTCATTGACTCTTTTAAAAACCGCCATGAGTCATTTCCAGTCGGTGTCTGTACTTTTTGCTTGATGGATGCCTATCTGTGGCATAAAAGACCCGCCCTGTGCTTTTGTCTACTTGAATACACAAAACCAGAGTTATTTATGAAAGAATGTGGAATAACTTAACAAAAATTTGTATGCAAACTCTGGAAGTGGGTTGTTTTCAAGATGTGCCAGATAGACTATTTCCCCCCAGAAAGAAATGTAGATACCCACTGATACAGATTACTAAAGACAGCAGCAGCAACTTGCTCTTCAGCATCCCTGACAAAAGGATGTCCTAGTATGGAACAAAGCAGTAAAGAAGCCATGAAATCCACTATACCCCCTTCCCCCTCCAGTTAATGTGTAAACTGTAAGAGGAAGTTTCTTCCTGGAAGGCTTGTGGTATGACTTGGAATCTTTACTCCCTAATCTCAGCTGGTCCAGCTCAACATGTTCAGTATTGGGGTGAGGGGGGGCACTCTGTAGATGCTCAGATGCATGCTGTTCTTCCTTTTGCCAGTACGCATTCAAGGTCTGACTGCCTGAACATTGGGAATAGCTTCCAGGATTGACCCCAGCTCAAGTTAAGGCTTTGAGTTAAGGCTTTGGAAGGAAGTGAGCCGAATGCATAGTGATCTGGTTTGGAAAGCTGATATCCTCTCCAGTCTCCCTCTCTTTGTGTGTTTTTGGGATGGGGTTGATGATTAGCCGTGAAAGGAACAGGATGGGCTTTTCTGCTTCTCTCCTCATTTTAGCACTCTCCCCGTCCCTTTTCTGTCTTACTACTGCACTTTGCCACACAAAGCAAGTGTAGTGCACCATCTGAGAGGTGCAACGTCACACAGAGCATGCTGAGACACAACAGTCACAAGATGTGCTGCCTCAGACAATATGATGTTGTACGCCAGGATCTTCTAAGGTACCGCAAGGGATCCATGGTTGCAACTGCTAGATCACACGGTGCTATTTTGGTAACCATAAACACCTTGCGGTAGCAAGCAATCTCCTGTTCTGTTTTGCAGTCCACCAGCCCTCCAGTTAACAATTTAAGCTGAGTCAGAGCTGACCTCAGAGTTTGTTGTACATACCAGCACCTAACCCTGTGGCGTGTGTAGCAATGTCAAGCAGGAAATGAAGTCCTGTCCAAATGAAAGCTTTTGAAAGTGTTGGGTGTGCAGAACCAGATTGATATCCCAAACCCTGCACCCTGCAGACTGTTTTAGCCATGGTGCGGGTCACCAGGAGTATCTCTGTGCTGGTGGCATGGCAGCTGTGGCATCAAAACAGCAATGATGTGGCTACCCCTCTTCCCCCAAATGCAAATTGGTACCTCTCCCATGAGGTACTCCTCCGTTACTCTTTTCCTGCTTAGTTTGGGAAAACACAAATTTGGAGGAACCTCTTGTGGCCCCACAGAACAAGAAGTACAGAGGCACAATCAGTTCTGTGTAATTCAAAAGCTATAGATTTTGAGCTTCTGTGGCGTGGTGTGGTTCATGGGGCCGCGAAGAGTCAGACTCGACTGTGCGACTGAACAACAAAAAGCACGAAGAATTCTGTGTCACTTGAAAGCTCACTCCGACACCATATGCAAAGTATGTGACACCTTTAAAAGCCTTACAGAGAGCAATCCTAACATAAGAACGTAAGAGCCCTGCTGGATGAGACCAATGGTCCATCTCATCCAGCATCCTGTCTCACACAGTAGTCAACCAGTTCCTCTGGACGGCTAACAACAGGGCACAGAAGCCGAGGCCTTCCTCTGATGTTGCCTCCTGGCTCTGGGATTCAGGGGCTGACTGCCTCTGAAAAAGTGGAGGTTCCCCTCAGTCACCATGGGTAGCAGCCACGGATACACTTATCCTCCATGAATCTATCTAATCCCCCTTTAAAGCTGTTTATTCCCATGGCCGTCACTGTATCTTCTGGCAGCAAATCCCACATTTTAATAGGCATATCTACTCAAGAGTCTTATTAAAGTGTATTCAATGAGACTTACAATGCCATTGAAAGCAGCCATTTTCAGCAATAATGCAGGTGGCATTTTAACTAGTGCTGCAAACTCGGGAATGGGGAATTCCTGCAGATTTGGGGGGCAGAGTCCGGGGAGGGACCTCTGCAGGGTGTAATGCCATTGTCTCCAGGGAAACTGATCTCCGTTGTCTGGAGATGAGGAAAGTGTTCTTAGGATCGCATCGTTAATCTTTCTCTTTATTCCACGCCACCCTGTTGTTTGTACGCAAGAGCCATCAAGTTGGAACTGACTTATGTCGAGCCCAGCAAGGGACTTTCAAGGCCTAAGAAACAGAGGTGGCTTCCCGTTCTCTTCCTCTGCAGGACCTTCCTTGGTGGTCTCCCATCCAAATACCAACCCTGCTTAGCTTCTGAGATCTGACAAAATCAGGCTATGGCGTGCCACCATCCTTCCCTTGCCCTGTTGTCCTTAATACCAAATCCAGCTTTGTCAGGTATTTTATTACAGGGCTGTACTGTATGGATGGTCTCTCTCCACTCATGAACCCACTATGAGGAATTCCTTAGTCCCGATCTGTAGTCATTGAGGCTGCAGTCCTAAGAACACTTTCCTGGGAGCAGGTACCATTGGATATGCAGGGACTCCCTTCTGAGCAGGCTTGCTTAGGGCCCCAAAGCAGAAAGTGCCCCAGAACACGTGCAGTGTGCGACCCCCCCTGCCCCCCCCCATCACAGAGTACTGGGGCTTAGTAGGGGGGAAAGTCCCTACCCCGGGACCGCTCTTGGAAGGCTTGTGGGCAGGTGTCCCCCCCACCCCACCCCCGCCCAATTGCCTTTCCTAGTGTCCAGTCTGAGTGTGTGTGTGTGTGTGTGTGTTTGCGTGACCTCACTGCGGGGGGGGGGAACAAATAAGAAGCTCCGGGACCCCAAAGGCCAGCAGGTCACTGGGGAAAGCATCGGGGCAGGAGAGGAAGGTGGTGCCTGCTGGGGGGGGGGATTATATTTGGCTGGCGGAGGGAGGACGAAGAGGAGGAGGAGGAGGAGGAGGGGGTGTCCCGCTGCTTCCCTCGCTCCTCGCCGGCTCCGCGGCCTCCCTCTGCCCGTCCCGCCGCCTCCCTCCTTCCCCTCCCGGGCTGACTGGCTCCCCCTCCCCTCCCCTCCCCTCCCTCTTGTCTTGCAGGCAGCCACCCCGATGAGTCCCAGCCTGGCCGTGCAGAGGCGCGGGAGCCGCGGGAAGCGCACCATGCCCGGGACGCGGCTGCTGCTCAGCCTGGCTCTCCTCTGCGGCTGCACGCAGCTCCTGGCCGAGGCCAGCTCCTGGTGGTGAGTGAGCGCCTGCCTGCCTCCCCCTCGACCTCCTTCGGTGCGGCGGGGCGCGGGAAGGGACCCTCTCCCCCGTCCCCGCGTGGCCGGAGAGGCGAAAGGCGCGCCTGGGGGTTCCGGCCGGGCTTCCCAGCGCTCGGAGCGCAGCCGGGGGTGGAACTCGCCTCCTGGGTCTGGACCGAAGCGAGTCTCGACAAAGGGTCCCTTGAGAGTTCCGCGGAGGGGAGGGATAATGGGGGGGGGGAGGCTTTAAATGGACGGGCTGGGTGCTTCGCCTGGGTCTTCTCTGCCTGACCTGCCAGCCCCGGTCCCGACTCCCCAGCGCCTTGCCCCGCTGGGGTCCATGGGGGTGCGCTCCCGCATGGAAAGGGAGCCGGAGAGGTCCGAATGCTGGCCCAGCAGCGCTGACTTGTTCGGGACGGAGGATCCCGTCCCCTTGCTTCTGGGCAGCGCCTGGCGCTCCGCTTTGTGTCCGTGTGGGGAATGGGGGGAGCCCCGACCCAGGGCCGTCCCCCCACCCCACCCCGAGTCTCGTCTCATGAGTCCCTAGCTGTGTGTGTCTGGGGAGGGGAGTCGCTTCCTGACAGTTCACAGAAAACTCTCTCTCCTGGGCTAATTGATTCCAGAAGAGTAGCTGTGTTTTTGCCTATGTATCTGGCGGAGGAGGCCGTTGCCTAGAAAATTAACCACATTTGGTCCTCTCCCCTAATTAAGGAACTCTCAGCTTCTTTCCCCTTTGATCCAGAGAGCTTTCCTTATGGTGTCTCCAGGCAGGGTCTCTCTCGTCCAGCAGAGCGTCTCCCTTCTACTAATTCAGACAAGAGCCTCAGCAACTAAATGGGAGCCCCTCTTCGGCTTCTTTGCCAGGGAAGACAGAGAGACTGCCTAAGACTGGATCTACTTTGGGGTTTTCTCCTTCACAATGTCCCCCCCTTTTTTTCTTCCTCATCCCAGGTCCTTGGCTATGAACCCAATCCAAAGACCGGAGATGTACATCATAGGAGCCCAGCCTGTGTGCAGTCAGTTGCCAGGGCTCTCCCCGGGCCAGAGGAAGTTGTGCCAGCTCTACCAGGAGCACATGGTGTACATTGGGGAGGGTGCCAAGAATGCCATCAAAGAGTGCCAGTACCAGTTCCGGCAGAGGCGGTGGAATTGCAGTACAGTGGACAACACCTCTGTGTTCGGCAGGGTGATGAGCATAGGTAAGCAAAGGAGAAGTGGGGCTGGGAGTTGTATGGATCAGTCTGCAGAGGGACAGGGGGGTGGGAGGTGTCAAGAACAAAGCCTGGCTGAAGTAGGGCTCCACCAGCAGAAATATCAGGACACAAGAGTGACCAGTATGATGGGGAGGGGCTGGGAGATGATTAGCAGGGGGAAAGAAGCACAGGTGGCACATCCCTAGGTATGTTAACACAATGATGTCTTGAGAACAAGTCAGGGGAAAACAGGTGTGTGTGTGAGATAGAAGTTTGGGAAGTAAAACCTCAAGAGGGGTGAGGCTTTGGGTGAGGAGCATCAAGAGGAGGGATTGTGCAACTCTAGAAGGTGTTTCCAAAGGTTATCCAGTCCCTAATTCTGCGATGCCAGGCTTAAAAGAACCTCTACCAGATATCAAAACATGACCGCTCCCTCTCTAATCTCCATATTTATCTGAAAATCTTTAAAACACGAAAGTTGTACCTGGAATTACAGCTCAGCACCTTGTTGAATACAAAGGACAAATGGGCTGGACAGAGACTATGAGTCATCACGACTGTCTGTAAGCCCCTGCTTGTCAATGTGTCGTGTATTAAAAGTGTGAAAAGTTTTCTGATTAGGGACTGCCTTGTCTGGTGTGACTAATTCATTTGCATTGAGAATTCTCCTGTTGCTCTTGCTCTCTCTGTAACTGTGTTAAACTGCTGCATTCTGTATAACCCAAAAGCTTGCATGCTTGGAACTGGTCCAGAAACAATGGATTGATTGTGTTTGCAAAACGCAAGTAAGGAAATGTTAAGTTGTTACTTTGCGTAAAATGATCTTCCTCCATGAATATCACTTGCCAGGCTGGAAAACCTCATATGCTAAAGCATGTTTCAAATACACATGTCTGTTTCATGCCTTGTACTCTCATGGAACAGCCACCAGTTGGGGCTTCCAGCTGCATGACCATATGGCAAAATAGACATGTACATTTTACAATATAGACACAGTTTTCCTGCACAGAAGTGATAACCATTCAGGAAACCGTATTGTGGGAAGCAGCCTATTGATAAAATAGTGGTGCACTGTTTGGTTTCTTACCTATTTTGTATCATTCAATGCTTACGAGCCATAAGAGGCACTATGTTTGACCACACAAACAGAAAGAATGCACTACACATGATTGTCCCAAGACATGCAATTGCTATTTTGTCTGAAGGGGGCAAAGTGCGTATTTGCATCCTCAGTACTAAAACTGTGTTGCCCTTTACAAACAAAATGACGATCGCACAAATCAGGAGGACTGCATGTAGTGTGTTCTCCCTGTATTTACACTCATGATGCCTGAAGAGGGCTAATATTTAAAATTAGATGTGCCAGTGTTCAAGACTGCAGTGGAATTCCTAGCCCTTCATTTTAGTTTGTGCTCGGAGTGGGGGGGGGCACTTTACATATACTTAAATGCACTCTTCATTAGTTTTGGTATTTATCAGCATCATGTCCCAGGGTTTCTTACAGGCATTGAAAACAGATTCCCAGGTTAAGCTCTGGCTGTTGCTAAATCCTGTTTATTATATGAAAAACACTGTATGGATTTCAGGCGTTTTCACACAGTGTATTAGCTGCAAAAACTCACTGCCACAGATTGTAGTGATGGCTGGTAACAAGGCTTTAATAAAAGATTACAGTCACCAAGGGTAGATCCATCAGTGGCTATTAGCCATGATGGTTAATTGGAACCTCCATGTTTTAGAGGCAGAATACCTCTGAATACCAGTTGCTGGAGGCAGCAGTAGTGGAGACCTTGGCTTTTAACTCTTCTATAGGCACCTGGTTTGCCATTGTGTGCAATAGGATGCTAGAGTACATGGGCAATTTGTCTTATCCAAAAGGGCTGCCCTCATGTTCTCTGGTCTCCTAATCTATTGTCTGTATCTGTTTCAAAGGCAAGCACATGTGGGGAGGGGGATAAGAAAATGGCTGAGCAGGACTGTAGTGGGGAAATGACCTCTGGGGAAAGGTTAGCATACACCCACTGTGGTTATGCTAAAGAATCACACACCTAGGTGTACTTACAGACATCCCAGGAACAGTTTCTCTGTTTACAAAAATGCTAATTGAGTTTTGTAACGTATATTTGCTTGTAACAGTGAGCTCAGACTTAAAAGTTTGGAATTTCTTTCC